CCTGTCTGTGTATCAGTGATGGTCCTGTCTGTTTTTATCAGTGATGGTCCTGTCTGTGTATCAGTGTGGTCCTGTCTTTTGTATCAGTGGATGGTCCTGTCTGTGTATCAGGGGGATGGTCCTGTCTGTGTATCAGTGGGGGGTCCTGTCTGTGTATCATTTGATGGTCCTGTCTGTGTTCAGTGGATGGTCCTGTCTGTGTATCAGGGGGATGGCCCTGTCTGTGTATCAGTGATGGGTCCTGTCTGTGTTCAGTGGTTTGGTCTGTCTGTGTATCAGTGATGGTCCTGTCTGTGTATCAGTGGATGGTCCTGTCTGTGTATCAGTGGATGGTCCTGTCTGTGTATCAGTGATGGTCCTGTCTGTGTATCAGTGATGGTCCTGTCTGTGTATCAGTGGATGGTGCTGTCTGTGTATCAGTGATGGTCCTGTCTGTGTATCAGTGATGGTCCTGTCTGTGTATCAGTGATGGTGCTGTCTGTGTATCAGTGATGGTCCTGTCTGTGTATCAGTGATGGTCCTGTCTGTGTATCAGTGGATGGTCCTGTCTGTGTATCAGTGATGGTCCTGTCTGTGTATCAGTGATGGTCCTGTCTGTGTATCAGTGGATGGTCCTGTCTGTGTATCAGTGGATGGTCCTGTCTGTGTATCAGTGATGGCCCCTGTCTGTGAAATCAGTGATGGTCCTGTCTGTGTATCAGTGGATGGTCCTGTCTGTGTATCAGTGTGGTCCTGTCTGTGTATCATTAGTTTGGTCTGTCTGTGTATCAGTGGATGGTCCGTCTGTGTATCAGTGATGGTCCTGTCTGTGTATCAGGGGATGGTCCTGTCTGTGATCGTGGATGGTTCTGTCTGTGTATCAGTGGATGGCACTGTCTGTGTATCAGTAGATGGTCCTGTCTGTGTATCAGTGGATGGTTCTGTCTGTGTATCAGTGGATGGTTCTGTCTGTGTATCAGTGGATGGCACTGTCTGTGTATCAGTGGATGGTCCTGTCTGTGTATCAGTGGATGGTCCTGTCTGTGTATCAGTGGATGGTCCTGTCTGTGTATCAGTGGATGGTCCTGTCTGTGTATCAGTAGATGGTGCTGTCTGTGTATCAGTAGATGGTCCTGTCTGTGTATCAGTGGATGGTCCTGTCTGTGTATCAGTGGATGGTCCTGTCTGTGTATCAGTGGATGGTCCTGTCTGTGTATCAGTGATGGTCCTGTCTGTGTATCAGTGGATGGTGCTGTCTGTGTATCAGTGATGGTCCTGTCTGTGTATCAGTAGATGGTGCTGTCTGTGTATCAGTAGATGGTCCTGTCTGTGTATCAGTGATGGTCCTGTCTGTGTATCAGTGGATGGTCCTGTCTGTGTATCAGTGGATGGCACTGTCTGTATATCAGTGGATGGCACTGTCTGTATACCAGTGAATGTCACTGTCTGTGTATCAGTGGATTGCACTATCTGTATATCAGTGGATGGCACTGTCTGTATACCAGTGAATGTCACTGTCTGTGTATCAGTGGATTGCACTATCTGTGTATCAGTGGATGGCACTGTTTGTATATCAGTGGATGGCACTGTTTGTATATCAGTAGATGGCACTGTTTGTTATCAGTAGATGGCTGGGTTCACTTGCCATGTAGACATGCGTGTACATCTATCGTCCCACTACCCGTTCTTATATCTATCGTTCTCTCTCCCCCTCCTGTCCAGTAGTGGGTAGCATCATGGGCAGGACGAGACGTATTAGCAAGCCACCTTACACCTGTGCTCACCTAGCAGTAAACAGGTACCTGGGTGTTTTGAGCGGCATCCTGGGGGAGAGGGAAGACCCCTAGCGGAAATACTCAGTAATACTTAATATTATTTTGTGTTACTGAGCCTGGAGGTTACTCTCTGGGTTGAGGTGCCACTAGTAACCTCCCACTGCACCTCTGCCTCCAGGTACAGTGCCTCCAGCACCTCTGCAGTCAGGCGAGAGGATATTGTAGTGGTGGATGGCCTCCAGGGACGTGGGGGACGAGGGTGCAGTGTTTCTCTAATTATTTATTGTCTCTCTCTCTCTCTCTCTCTCTCTCTCTCTCTCTCTCTCTCTCTCTCTCTCTCTCTCTCTCTCTCTCTCTCTCTCTCCGAATAGTCTACAGGACTGATACATACAGACTTTATTTTCTTATTCCATGAGTGTTACCATCTGTGTGTGTGTGTGTGTGTGTGTGTGTGTGTGTGTGTGTGTGTGTGTGTGTGTGTGTGTGTGTGTGTGGTGTGTGTGTGTGTGTTTTTACTCACCTAATTGTGGTTGCAGGGGTTGAGACTCAGCTCCTGGCTCCGCCTCTTCACTGACCACTACTAGGTCCTGCCTCTCCCTGCTCCATGAGCTTTATCATACCTCGTCTTAAAACTATGTATAGTTCCTGCCTCGACTACATCGCTTGCCAGACTATTCCTCTTCCTAAGAAACTCTGTGACTGAAAAAATACTTCCTAACATCCATTTGACTCATCTGAGTCTTCAG